CTTTCTCATATTTTCTGCCTATTTTTGAAAATATCTCCATTTCCATACCCTTTTAACATCTTTTACATTCTCATTTTCTTTTTTAAAAAATAATTATGAGACACAGTAGCATTAACAAAATTTCCATCTGTTGTGAGACTTCTTTTTCTGGGGATGTGAAGCACTGCTTATTCGCTTTCAAAGTTCTACTGTTGAGCCAAAGTTTGATAATTTATTGAGCTTACTTACCGACATAAGTGAGGAGTTGCTGAAGTATATGTATGACCTGAGTGTATGCACTGGAAAGACTTAACCCAGTAAGGGCCATGCCTTCTCTTCCTAGCCTTCCCCAGATTGTATATTTTAGCTCTCCCCAAATGCAGGAGGCCATGTGTGTTTAGGGTCAAATTACATTCATTTGGCTTGAAGAGTGGCTGGATAATGTGGTGAGGGTTCGGTGACCCTGCTTGGCTCTCCTTTAAAGAATGAGCACAACCATCAACAAGCCCAAATGTGATGATGTTTAGCGATTAGGCTCAGCTGAAGTCGTGATGATGGTAGTCATTTCATGCAGAAGAGACTGCTGTATTTCATCATCTTATTAAAAGAACCTGGAATTTAAAAGGATTTGGTGCTAAGATCCATGTATGAGGGAGAAAATATGTCTTTAGTTTTTCTGAATCTGTGTCTTCACTTAGTATAACAATTTCTAGCTCCCTCCATTTACCTGAAAACTTCATTATTTCATCTTTCTTTAATGCTCAATAGAGATGAAAAGAGAGAAAATTAATGCACACCTCAACTCTTAGCTCTTGTGAAAAGATCAGCAACAAACATAGTTGTACAAGTGTCTCTAAAATAGGATGAGTCCTTTGGGTATATGCCAAGTTATAGCATAACAAGGTCATATGGTGAGTTCATTTTTAGTTTTTTTAAGAGTTCTCCACACTGTTTTCCATAGAGGTTGCATGAGTTTTCAATCCTACTAGCAATGAATGAGCGTTCCCCTTTATCCACATCACTCCACATTTGGTATCATGTGTTCTCTTGATCCTAGCCAGTCTGACTGGGGAAAGGTGATACCTTAGGATGGTTTTAATTTCATTTCCCTGATTACTAACGATGTTGAACATTTTTTTAGATGTTTCTTAGTCATTTTTATTTCTTCCTTTGGGAACTGTTTAGATCTTTAGCCCATCTTTAAATTGGGTCATTTTGTCTCTTGATTCTTTGTTTTTTTATTTCTTTTTATATTCTGGATGTTTCCTATTATGTGGGTTTTCTCTTCACTTTTTGATTGCTTCTTTTGCTATACAGAGATTTTTAGTTTAATGAGGTCACACTTGTTGTTTGCTGACCTTAATTCCTGAGCAACTGCTGTCCGATTTAGAAAATCTTTTCCTACACCTATATCTTATAAGTTACTGCCAATATCTTCTTCTAATAGTTTCAGGGTTTCTAGTTTATATATGTGAAATTCTTAAAGAAAAAATATAAAAAGAAACAAACCAGCTTTATGTGTAATAAGAACATGCCTTTGAATGAATTACCACACCTCATGCTTTTTGTTCCTTGAAAGTCAAATCAATTAATGTTTATTTTCATGTGTGTTCACAAATTCTGATAAGAAGAAAATTAAATAATATTCATTTCTAAATGTGTTAAATGTGTTTTATAGTATAGAAAGGGAACATATAAATTAATAGAATTCTTTTCATAATAAATACCTTGCTATTGCCATCAAAACGCTTAAACCTCCAGATCAAAATCCACAAAATGAAATTTTCTTTTAATACTAATAGGTTGTGAGGTTTCCACATTCTTCACCAGATTCCCCAAACTGAAACAAATAAGCAAACATAATACAGCATCTTAATATATTCAAATTGTTATAGTCTTTCCATAAATTGTCATAATGGGGACTCAACCCTTACTCAATATTCTCTTTGATTTCATATAAAAACTATCTCATTCTCCCTATATTTTCCCAATAATTCCATGACCTTTTCACTTGCATATTATACAGCTGTTCCTATTCTTGCTCAAGTGCCCCTTTCAGCAGGAACTGAGGGTTCTAAGGGGAAAAATTAATGCTTAGGGGAAATTAACTGGACATAGCAGAACTACAGCAGTGCAGTAGTGGCACTTTTATCTTGGGAGTAATCAGCAGCTATCTAATTGGACTTATTGTCCTCTCCATAGGAGGGAACTCATGTGTGGCACTGTAAACACAGCCAAATACACATGACTGGAGAGGTCATAGATCCTAGAGAAAGCTCTACCACTGTCACATCCTTAGACAAGTATAATTTCTTTTGAATGATAAATATGTATCTTTATATTTACAGACACCTATGTTTTCAGCACTTATCAAAGAAGCTTCTTTTTGCAATTAATGGAGACTATTACAGAGTTCAACAACTGGTCAAACAAAAAAATAAGTACTTCTGAGATGCCCAGCCATAAGTGACACATCAATAATGGAACCTCTACACCTAAACCTCATGAAACATAGAGGAACAGGAGGTACATGAGGTATATTAATACATCTTTCAACTGTCACAAGTGAAGCTTCCACATGCTGCACTGAAAAATGGACGTTTAGGCAACAACTGGCCAAAATGTATAGAATAAGAGGCTGTAGACTGTGTTCCCCTGGGTAGGAATCCTATATTAAAACTCATCCACCCATGGCCCAGGAACCTTTGCAGAAGATGGGGTGGAAAGGTTTTAAAAGCCATGGTTGGTGCATGAACACAAGGAAACAGTCTTCCAGGCCTCTGGGACCTTGTTCACATACACCAATGTTAGCAGCATGCACAAGACTCTTGCAAATTCCATCAGACAAAAACCCAGCATAGAACTGAGGAAATGAACAGGAAGTCCCATCCTTAGCTGAGGAACTATTGGCAGCTGATTACTAGTGTTGAGGGAGAGCTGATCTTCTTTGGGGGAGTAACTCGGGATAGGCTGACAGCTTCAGTGGTTGGACTTATACCTAGAGACATCTGGGTATACAAATGACTTGGCAAGCCTTAACATATATGATGCAATGCATGAAATCCGGTGTGTGGACAGGCTAAAGAAGGGTGCAGATGTGGAGAAGATCTGGATATGGTTAAGACATATTATATGAAATGGCCAAAAATCCAATAAAAACACACTGAGTAAAAAATAATTTTCATAAAAGTGTGTGAATAGAAAGCATTCTAATATTTAAATCATTTTCAATAGGTCAGCCTAAAATTGGACAGGTTTAAGTTTTCAGATGATGAAACTGAGCCCTCAATTCAAAGTAAAAATAATAAAGTAAAAGTTTGCTGCTTTCAAAAGTAACACATTTTCTCTAAAATAATTTCCTCTCTGTGTTATACTGAGTAAATCATAAAGTGTTTATGAAGGTAAATATTGATTTCTTTATTCTTTCTAGCAAATTTTCTGTGTATTTTGCACATTTATTTAGAAGTGTAGTTTGTGCATGTGTGTGTGTGATTTGTGTGTGTGTATGTGTGTGTGTGTGTGTCTGTGTCTGTGTGTGATTCCCTTGTGACTGTGTCTGTGTACGTGAATGTGGAGAAACTTTCTGGTTTTTATGCACATTCACGAAAAGCAAAGAAGAGGAACTGAAATCGTAATGAATTAGCCAATGACACAATACTTTCAGACATGATCTGTGAGAGAACTTTGAACTAGATGCTGTTTCTGATAGAGTAGGTGCCCACTAAGCAACTTGTTTCTGCTTTACCAGCAGCACGGTGTTAAATGTGTGCTGCCTTGCATTGTGTGACTTTGGATATGGCTTGTGGGGATGAAAAAAATCATGCTCATGGTTAAACAGCAAGGACTTTTATCAACTGAGCAATCTCTCAAGTTCTATAATTGATTTTTTTTAATATTGCTCAGAAACCACTGCGAATCTCCCCCACATTTTCCTGATGGCATTTTTCATTTCTTTATTCCTGAAAGTATAAACCATAGGATTGAGCAGTGGTGTCAAGATATCATCAAATATAAACACATTTTTCTCAAAAGAGAAAGCAGATATAGGTCTCGCATATATTAATATACATGGGACAAAGAACAAAATCACAACAGTAATGTGGGAACCACAGGTAGAAAGAGCTTTGCGCCGCCCTGTAGAGCTGGGTCCTCTCAGAGAGAACAAGATGACACCATAGGAGACAAGCAACAAGGAGAAGATAATGATGCAGATGGACCCACTGTTGGCAAATACCAGAAGGACAAAAATGTGTGTGTCAGTGCAGGCAAGCTTGAGCAGTGGGAACAAGTCACATACAAAATGGTCAATGACATTGGGTCCACAGAAAGGCAGCTGCAAAGTGAAGATAATCTGTATGATGGAGTGCAAGAAGCCCCCTGTCCAGGCCACTCCCACTAGAGTGCCACAGAGCCTCCTGTTCATGATGGAAGAGTAGTGCAAGGGCTTACAAATGGCTACATAGCGATCATAGGCCATGGCTGCCAAAACAATAACTTCTGCACCAGTGAAGAAGTGGACAGCAAACAACTGAGTGAGACAACATTCAAAGGAGATGGTTTTCCTATCATAGAGCAAGTCCACAATCATCTTTGGTATGATGACAGAAGAAGTGCAGGCATCCAGTAAGGATAGGAATGCCAAGAAGAAGTACATGGGGGAGCCCAGCAGTGAAGGGCTGCGGACGATGGTCACCACAATCAGCATGTTGCCTCCAACAGTTGCGAGGTAAATCAACAGAAATGCAACAAATAGTATTTTCTCAATTTTTGGATTCTGTGAAAGCCCCAGGAATATAAACTCATCAACAAAGCTCCGATTTTGCATGATTCTAAGAGAAGCTGGAAGCAAAGTATTTTCACTTGAATCTGCAATTACGAGAAAAATTACTTCTTACTGTTAATAATATTATGAAGAGCAAGTCCATGCATCCTTAGACCAAATTTTTTTTATTGATTTTATTGCAATTGTGGAAAGAGTACTAGAATTTTAACTATGGGACAGGAATGTATCTCTTGAAAAGAGAAAGTTTTAATGTTTGAAGGGTCTATTTTATAATTCCTTTGTGGCTTTGTGAAGGGAAATAGTGAAAGATGATTTGGTATGAAATACCGCATGTGAACAAAACACTATTGTTTAGCAATGAAGTCTACAGTCTTCATGGACTGAGCCTAGGCAAAGCAATCTGCAGTGACTGATAGGAGAACTGCTTTATCAGTAGAAGAAAAGGCTAAATGCACTGTAGGATGCACTTGAAAAGCCCACAGTTTAAATTTTGTGTTAAATTATGAAGTGGATTGAATCTTTAAATGAATAAGTTTATTCTTCAGAAAGGTAGAACTCTTTAGGAAAATACCTAGCAGTAGACACCATGCTTTTGTTGATGGTGTTGAAATTTCAGTTTAATTTATTATTTTAAAAAATGACCAGAACTTTACAAATATTATCTTTTTTATCACTGTGACTAAGTGAAATCATGCAAAGAAGCAACTGTTCAGGTCTCATCCTCCTAATCAACAGTGTGGCAGGGGTCATGGTTGCTAGTTTAGTTATTCAGAAGTTATAAGTACGATGTTAAGGTCAAACAGACAAAAGGTATTTAGTCTGGGATTTTCATGATACCCTGCTCCAAAACCTGTGACTTCTCCTGAGAATGGACATGGAAAGAGTGGCAATATTTTTTACTCAGAGAGAATTTCTGATTAGAGGTGGGCTCTATTATCTCCCTCTCTGCATAAATGTTAATGCATCTTGTTACTTTATTCATATGTGAATGATGTGTATTGATAAAGCAACCATAGTAAATGATGAACAATCAGAAGTCAATACACCAATAAAGTGAACATGAAAATTTTAAAATAGCTTAATCAGAAAAATTTGTTTGAATGTAATTTAGTCTTGAGACTGAATTATT